AATGTCAGCATCCTGAATGCCCAAATATTTTGGCAACTGAAGTAGAGAAACATTGCTCCAGAACTCAGCTGCAGTTTTGCTGATAAGTAAATTAAGTTGCTGTTCACTTGTTATTTCTGATGGATGCCTAACTAACACATTAGGGCCAGTTGCCCTTAAGTGAAAGGACATGTGCCTACTATCTCCCCAAGGGGTAATGGGGAAAAACAAGTCATCATCATCAAAATTATAAATTGCTTTGATAGACATCAAACTTACCAGGTATATCTAATGAAGAAATGTGTGGTTGTCAGCTAGGAGAATCAAGTTCTCAGCTGTTGGAGGGTGAGAAAGCTGATGCTTGAAGAAACTTCATCCATAATTATTTTACAATCAGAAAGAGATCACATGATCTCTGTCACAGCATAGTGCACATGATGCGAGAAAAAAGTTGAACCAGAAGATTATTTATATGGACACTTCACTTGTGCCTTTTCTAAAGAACCCAAAGCCACTCCTTTGGCAGCAATGACCCCTGCCCAAAAATAATTAGAAGAAATTTCCACAAAGCCAGCTCGGACATGTCAAATGTGCAGTTAGGAGAGTGACGTCCTTATGCAAGAAAACTAATTATTTAACTCAACGTTCAAATTGACAACTTACTTCAGGCAATAAAAAATTCTTGGGACTATTCTACCTGCGGACAGTATTTTGTAAAACACAGTAACAATATAAAAGGCTATATTGCCGGCCACCAGTGCATTAAACACACAAAGATCATGTATCAAAAATTTAGATCATTTAGAATCACGTAAATAACAAGTAAAACTTCAGGATGAATGTCTAACCTGCAAATGTGCGTTGTGCTTTAGATTTGATGCAGAGAGCGTCATTTGCTGAACCAAGTGATTTGAAACGGCCAACTGTCCATGTCACAGAGAAAAAATGTTCGCTTAACTTACCTATGTTAGTGCTGGCGGTTGCATTCATTAACAACTCGAGCCCAATGGGTCAGCAAATCATATATCTGTAGAGAATTTAGCGTCTGATTTCAAACAAACTCGAAGTTCTGCAGTCCACGTTGTCCGCCGTGCCTTCCTGTGAAGTCGTGTGCTGTGCTTCACGTGACATGTAACTGAGCAGCGGACTGTCATAACCGTCACGTGACTTGGAGTGGCGTTACTCATGGGGACTCAGAATTTTCTTTGTCCCACGCTCGTGACAAAACGGAAAACATCTTTCTTTATTTCTCTACCGAGCTCAAAACCTACCCTCTCTCGTATTTTTCTATCTACAAACACTACGCTATCGACATTGCTGATCCCAGCAGTATGCAGGACGCGTGTCATATGAACTTCGACCTCGCTCGCCGTGGTGTCTCTGCGGCTCAGTGGCATCGGAGCGCAGAATCCGAAGGTCCGAGGTTCGATTCCACATGGGCACTCAGAATTTGTCTTTATTCCACGCTCGTGACAAGAAGAAAAAAACCTTATCTTCAAATTATCACTTTGCTCGGAAACAGGCGACCAATAAATGAGGACGAGCTCCTCCTGATCGGAGCGCGCTGGTGGGAGGAGGGGGAGGGGAATCATTTGAAAGTTCGAAATCATAACTTCATCAATTTGGTGGTATCTCAAACCGATCATGGACATAAAAAATTGTCACCGTAAAGAGTTTAAAGGCTGACGTTTCGAGCGTTAGCCCTTCGTTCTGACTGAGGGCTAACGCTCTAAACGTTACCCTTTGAACTCTTTACGGTAGCCAATTTACGTTTCCAACTTTTCAACTCAGTTGTTAACACTAAATTACCTGTTATACTCTCCCACTGACCAAGCAGCACAGTTTCTTTGGAAAATTAGCCCCCCCCCCCCAGCTTAAGAAAATAGTCATTTTGGGAACTTCCGATAAACAGCCACTGCAAGTGCGCCCTGGCCGAGTTCGATCTCAAGTGACATATCCCTCTCTACACTCTGCTCTGAGTCGTTAGAAAGTGCATGGTCATTACTTTCGTTCTTTTTTTGTCCGACCGAGAACTACACTCAATGCCTGTGAATACATGACTGAACATAACATTACGGCCACTTCCCTTTTACCGGTATATGTCCCTCGTGGAGATATCGCTTATGAAGTTGCGATGATTTCGCAAGCAGAATCGCGGTATTCTACGTTGAACATTGATGGAACAGGATCACGAATAGCTATGAAATAGTCTTTCATTCAGTGACAATGGGGTTAACAACAGTTAACCTCCACTGAAAAGGATTCCTAGGGTGCTCTCCACCATGTGATATGACCTTACTCAGGATACTCAAACGCTGCTTAACACTGCAGGAGACTCGTTGAAGCTTAGCCTACGTGTAGCCGAAGTATCTGTAGCGGATTGAAGGCTCTTTGTATTTTTCTAAAGAGACATAGCTATCCTTGTCGATATTCAGACATGATAGCTCGCTTTGGGAATCCTGTTCCAGTGTTATGCTTGATAAACAACAACATGATCGACTAAATCTACCAGGCACACAATCACAGAACTTTGCAGTGGAATCAGTGATAGCATCCCCAACCCTCATTCACTGGAAATATACTATAATGCCATAACAGCTAAGGGAACCCCCTTGGATAACTGTTTTGGCTTTATTGATGGGACAGTTAGACCACTGATAAGCAAGCCTGGCCAAAATCAGTGCGTTGTCTACAGTAAAATCTTACAGTATATAGACTGTGTTAGTGGCATATTACGCCGTTATATATATTCCCTTGTCTACAGTGGTCACAAAAGAGTTCTTTGTGTAAAATTCCAATCCGTGGCATTACCAAATGGAATTATTGGAAATATGTATGGACCAATCGGTAAGGGAAATAATGCAGCAACAACAGGCACTTCTCTTACTAAAAAGAAGTTCGTGATATTTCGTCCAGTACACTGGAGTAGTCGACCTTAAACATACACAAAGTAGATTAAACTCCCAGTACAAAACAGCTGACAAAACACACTTATCATAAGGTCACCTTTCAACTTTAGAAAAAATAATAACCTGGAGAATACAGGGCAACTTTTCATGGTTTAATAACCAGTTCAGCTGGTTTAATTCACACAGAAAACGAGCCACGAAAGTAATATAATAAAATTTTCCCTTTCTATAAAAATACAGACTAGTTAATTAAATGCTATCATCCGCTGATGATAAAGCGGCTGAAGCCTTGAAACGTCAAGATATTTTTTCTTTATTATAAAAGCGCATTGGATTATTTTCGCCTTTTTTTCCACCAAGGACTTTCTTCCGCTTTTGTTATCCCCTAAGCTAAGATAAGCAAAGAGCTTCCACTTGTGAATTTTGTAAAGTGCGCGATGTAAACAATATATGGAAATAGCATGAAAATCGAGCCCAAACATGAGTGGTTGCCGCAAAAATTCTCCTCAGGGGATTTGCCCAGGTCCGACATTATAACACCTTCCTGATTTAATAACTTTCATAGGAAAATACGTTTTCCTAAATAACTCGGGTGCTTGTAAAGATTCCTTAAATTTTTTTATGGTAACGTTAGGTTGAATTTTTGTAATCAGTTTAGTCAAATAAAAGAAAAGTCGATTTTTTCGGCCTCTGAAGGTGGGAAGTAACCTTAAGTTTAGATGAAAAGTCACCATGTAAAATGGTGTAAACTGACCAATCAACCTTTTCCTGAATAATTCATTTCTACTTAGAAAAAAACAGTTTCTGACTTAAAATCAAATCGTGTAAGCTCTTGATTTTGTGAAGAAGCTGATGTTTCAAGTATCAGCCCTTCCTGGAAACAAACAATTTGCTTTAACAAGTGGCTTATGGTTAAGACATCAGCTTTTCAAAATCACTAATAGCAATTTTTCCTTCCTCCACCAACATGTAGTTGGTAACCGATTAATCCTCTCCATTTGGAGTCCAGCTGCACTCTAACAATGAGGCCATTGTGTCTTTTAAAGTATTCTCTTATGAGGGTTGTAAAGGCTGATCCTGATCCCATTTCATGCACAAATTTTAGAAAAATTCACACACCACCTGTCCTTTAATCAGTGTTGATACCTCAAAAATTTAAAAGGGAAAATTATGATCTCAATTCACTTTGCCTATCTGTAAAATTTGCCTGCCACAGAGTGTCACATATACACCTTTTGCAACCCTCTCTTTTGAAGGGGGTGTTATCATAAGGCTGGAATGGTATGTATGTGGGAGACCTCTACCCAAGTAAAAATGTTCTTTTAGATGGATATTGGCCTTCATTATATAAATGTTGAAGAATGGAACTGAGCAGGTTGGATAACAACTGTGAACTTGAGTAGCATAATTTCAGACAAATTTAATTGAATGAATATCAGTGTAATGGCCTATTTTCATTTGAATAATGGCTCACTTTAATAAAACTTTTCATTTACTTGGATAATCCTCAATTACTTTAGCTATTTTGTATCTCTCTGTTTTACTATTTGTCATATACTTTCACTAGCTACTACTAATATGGAAAACTCACATGTAGTAATAAAAGGTAGTTACCTCTTTGATGTTCTTACAAGGCCTCTTTTTGCTCTCTCTTAAGATTATACAGTTGAACCTGTATTTAGTGGCACTGTCTAAGGCAGGTATAAAGCAGGTCTGACCATATTTCAACAGACAAAGTAGAACAAATCTATTTGAAAACTCTACAAATCTACAGGCTTTCCTGCTAACATTTATGCCACTCATCAGAGATACAAACTATTCTTTCATACTTGTAGACCAATCTATTTACATGTTCAAAAATTTTTACTTAATCCTTTAAGTCCCACTAGTGACCTAGACAGACTTTCTCCTTACACCATAGTACAATATCAAACAAAAAAAAGTGATGAGATTAAAGAAAAATACCAATTAGGGGATTATTGGTTGATCCAATTCCAATTGCCCAAACTAACATCACATGAATTGTATGGCAGATAGTAAGGAGAATTGCTGATGAGACTGTGGGAGTTTAAGGGTTAAGTTGATAATTTGTAGTAAAAGATGACCACCATGGGTGCTGAATCATAATATATTTGTACTGAAAAACCAGTAGCAAATCAAGATAAGACTGTCCATAATAAACAATATAAATAGATACATTTACTGCAAGTAATTTGTATAAAAAAAAGGATAGGTATATGTAATTGTAACAAAAAGTTATAAATACAAGGAGAAATTACTCTTTTGTTATATTTCTAGCGGGGAACATAAAATCTTTCCATCTATTAAAATCTAAGCAAGAAGCAAAACATGCTACGTATATGTTGGTAAACTTTCAACCATGGACAAGTGTAACTCAGCCCAAGGGAATTTTTTTATTTTCTTGTGATATGAGTTTAGGGGTGGCTTCTGATGAGGTGTGAAACTTTACCTCTAATGGACAAATATTATATAATCATAGATTTAAGCAAATGAACTCTCCTGTCATGCTGTAAATAACAATTTAACAAAAACAATAACTTAATTTTTTAATTTCAGTCGCAACACTCTGTCAACATGAACAGCCATTTTCTTTCTTAGCTTGTTTATTCATGTCCTCCCTTTTGAGAGTAAAAATATTTTCACCCCTTGTAGTGGACTCTTTGTTGGCAAGCAACAACTTTGCAATATCATCAAACATCTCCCTCACTCCTTTGCCAGTCTTGGCAGACACTTTATACAGTTTTGTTATTCCATTGTTCTCACAAAATCTGTGAGCCAACTGTTCATCGACTTGAGAACCTTCTTCTGCCAGGTCAATTTTGTTTCCAACAAGAAATTTTAAAGCCTTCCCTGCATCCTTGTTAACATCTAAGATCCAATTTCGCAGCAGTGTAAGAGAGTACATGTCATCAATGGCGTAGACCAGAATAACAGCTTCAGAATTGTGGTAGTAGTTTGAAGTGAGTGATCTTGTTCTCTCCATTCCAGCAGTGTCCCACACAATGATCTGGCAAATGAAAGAAAATGATGGATCAGTTAGCTGCTTAACTCCTAGAGGTGATCAACATGTAACTTCTCTCCATAATTTCCATTTATTAACCAACAAACAGGTGATGAGAATACTCAAACTCATCAGGTGGAAGTTGTTGTCTTGATCTAATGCCAAATTCTTGTAAGTACAAGGAAATGTCTTACAATAAGACCATAGAATTAACAATCAGATCTTGAGAGTTAAAGGATTATGACATTATAATTCAAATTTTACATATAACTTCTTCGTTTTTGTTTTCCAGAATGGGTAAAATTATCATAGAGATTCTCATTCCCTACTTGATCAAGGGATCTTGAATAATATGGTCATCTTCCACTATAGTCATAGTGCTTAGGAGATAGTAACAGAAGGACTTGACTTTAAATGCTGCTAACTAAGAATATTTGCTCATTAGAAACAGCCCCCTTGATAATTGATATATTTTTTAATATCAATCACACCCTAGAAGGTGTGGTGGCTTAAAAGTTGGTGTGCAGAGCTTCAGGTCAAGCACTCCTGTTCAAGAAGTATAAAAGGGTCCTGGCAACCTGTTTGTCAAATCTGACAGAATACTAGGGGTGAAGAGAGGGTAACCTACCAATGGACTGACATCCCTTTCAGGGAGAATAGTAATACCCCTAGTCATTTCCTGCCAAGGAAACTGGGATAGGCTTCCAGTGGATGGGCCACTTGGCTTGCACACAGACTTTACCATTTTGATATTATTCACAACCAGCACAAATGACTTCCTCTCAACCAGATATGATGGGAAAAGGGTGTAGGAGAGGGGGTCCATAGAATTTTTCCATATTATTAATATATTCTCAGGATTGTAAAAAAACATTTTCAGTACCGACTTGTGATCAAAAGGCAGCACAATGTCATGCCTTTTGCTAAAAATCGAGCCACAAGCATCTAAAGGTGAAATGCGTTGGTTGCCCGCTTATTTGAGAACCCTGTACTCTACATGAAAAAATTATCTTTTCTGACTGAGCAAAATGCAGTTTTAGGGTAGCAGGATGCAGAAGAAAGGTTTTTAAGATAAGAGAATATTTACTTCAGTGCGAAAACTGTCGATAAAAAAAAAACTTGAATGGCTCAAAGTTGTTCTTACAAATAAAGCAATTACTGATGGGTTTAGTATGCTACTCAACTTTTCCAATTTAGTGGACACCACTATGAAATCATTTATCTTTTTCTTTCCTCATTTCTAAAATCGCTTATAATTATATAAATCGATCATACATAAAATAATGTTATCCGAGTTACAGATCTGGATCCTAAACCCAAGTTAGGAAAAACGTTTGAGCACATGTAAATAATTTGAGGTTAGCACCAAAAGGAACGAAGATCTTTACTTGTTTGCGTTTATCAGAGAGAAGCACATACACAAAAAAGAAGTGGAGAAAGAAGAGGATCTAGACTATGCCAGGAAAATGAATGCTTGTACACTAACCTTCAATCGTTTTCCATCGACTTTAATGTCCTTGCTCAATTTGTCCAGTCCAAATGTTGGCTCCCTGTAATCTGAGAACTTGTCGATATCATATCTGCGAAATATAGAGGTTTTTCCCACACCAAGATCGCCAGCCAACACGATTTTATACAACGGAACACTTTCTTCGTCACTCATCTTGCTTGGTAATGGCGATACAAGATTTTAATATGGAAACACGATCATTCAAAGAATCTCGGGCTCACACACGTCCTACACGTCCTCTATGGAGGGGTGAGGTAGAGTTTGATGGCTAATGAAAATATTTTTCCCATCAAGTAGAACTTTGAGTTTAAGACTCTGATTTTACTCAAAAACTTTTTTTTAAATTCAAAATTCAGATTCTTTTTTCATTTTAGACAAATCAATCGAAAATGACAGGTACTTCACACGAATTTTTTTTTTCATACCTATGTCACGCAGTACTCCCCTGCATTGCGTGACATATGGAAAAAACTATGCCCACCACCCCTACTGATAAGTGAGTCTTGTCAGGGCAATACGGAGATAAACTGTCATGGCGGCATTGTCTGCAGATAGAGGTCCGCTCTTTAAAGTAATCTTGTTGGGCGAAGCTGGGGTAGGAAAAACAGCGATTTTTCACCGTTCTAAGGATAATATATTTGACGAGCGAAGGAAAACCACAGTGGGGATCGACAGTTTTTCTCTCTACGTGAAGGTTGGCGATCAACAAGTTACGGTATGTATTTAAAACAATAGATTAACAAGATCGATAGTAGTGTATGATCTAATCATACTGAGAAGGAAAATAATGGTCCACTTGCACTGTAGTTTTGCAGTTTTGAAAAATGTCGCGTTAGTAGATAATATTAAGTGCGAGAATCCTATAGCTAGTTTGTAAGATTTACCGACACCTTAGCCTATGACCATCAGCTGATTAGTAATAAAAACAAATGTGTCGGTTAATTAATTCTTTCTTTATTCTAATGTTTACAGGGATAATCTGACGTATGGGTAATTTATTAGAAAGATTATAACGGTACCTAACTGGCTGTAAATGACTATGGTATATTTACAATGAAGTCATTCGATTTCGTTTATCACTGCTTTGATTACAGACCGAATTGGACTCCACTTAGTCCTATTATCATTATGTATAACTATCATTATTGGTCAACTGAGCTTGCCAAAATCTAAAACTGTTCCATGTTGTAAAAAATTTGTGTTTATTGTGGCTGATTACTATTATTTTCATGAGCAAATGAAAGTTGAAACCTTTTATTTTCTTTGAGCTTGTGTTAAATAGTCTTAAAACAGGAAGAGGAACATATATGTATGTCAGTCATGCTAAGATATTCTGCAGAAATATGAAGTGTTTTCCAAACCCATTTGACTCCCTGTATGGATTCATAAATATTGTTCTCACTTTGTATTTCAAACTTCACTGCGTACCATAAGCACACAGTAATGTAACTGTCAGTTTTAATTATGCCATGGCAATGAACACAACTGCAACTTGGAGTGCTGATATGTACAAAGAACCTTGAGAATAATCCTTCTAATCTGTCAGTCTTATTTCTTTGTTCACAGCTTGGTGTCTGGGACACGGCTGGAGTGGAAAGATTTCGGACGATAACAAATAACTATTACCGTGGGTCTCATGCAGCAATTTTTGTGTACAGTGTGGACGAACCTTCATCATTACACTATTTAGGCCACTGGATACGGGATCTGGAAGAATATTCTCCCAATGCTATAAAGATACTTGTTGGCAATAAAAAAGACCTTAACAGTCAGATATCTAATGAAACAGTTGAGATGTTTAACAATGCAAATGATTGCAAACTTAACATGCTCATGTCAGCAAAGACAGGGGAAGGTATTCAAGATGCTTTTAATGCCATTGCTAAGCTGTTAGTACAAAAAGGAATTGACAAAGACTCATCAAACAAAGGTTTGGAGTTAGAGGCCCCTCAACCCATGGTACGGCAGTGGAAAAATGGTTGCTGTTCATGATATTAGAGTCCTAGGCCTCGTCCACATGTATCAGTTTTCATTTGAAAACACAGCTTTTTCTTTACGAATATGGCTTTTATCCACATGTATTTGATGAAAATGGAACTTTTGAAAAGTGCTTTCCAGAGTGGAACTTTTTGAAAATGCTGCTTAATTGCTTGTATGTGTGGAAGGAAGAAAATGGAACTTTTCAAAAATGCTGACATCACACTATCAGTTTCAATACACTCTGCACAATATTATAAACTTATTCAAGATGGACGACAGGTGTTTCACTCTCTTGTCTCATTACTTGGGCTTATTTCTCACCAAATTGCCTGTCTTCAAGCAAAGTTATCTGAGATGGCACCAATTTTTTATTTAACAGGCTCATAATAGCAAATTATTATGCCTGAGGGTTATCATTTAAAAGGTATTATTTTCAAGTTGGTTCATCTTATACATGTGTATGATTGCCATGTGTGGGCACAAATTGTTTTGAAAATGAGAAAAACGTTGCATTTCAAACAATTACAGATTAGTGTGGATGGGGTTCTCCTAATTAGAGACTAATGAACTTTTTCTTACCTTTAACAAGAAGGTGCATTACAATGCATGAAGCATTCTCTGCAGTTGACAAATTTTCTTCAACTGTAAGGAAACCATAGAGTATTTCTATATAGTATAAAATAGTGAAGAATAGAATGGATATAAGCCAAAAGGAGCACAGATGATTAAGGATCCCTTAACATTGCAAAGTTTATTCTGAAACTATAAACATTTAAAATGTTCAACTTAGAGATGAGTTTTCTGAAGAGACTTTTGTTTCAACTTTTTCATAAAGTGGTTTGTAACAGCCATGACCAGCCTACTAGCCTTATGCAAACCTACTTTTGAAATCTGTGTTAGATTTAAAGCAAACTCTTCCTGGTTTAGACAGTGTGCATACAAGTCAAAGAAATTACAGTAAAAGTTTGTCAGCAAGTTCTGTTCAGCACCAATGTTTTTTTTTATTTTTTCGTGATTTCTTTGGACTTGCATAATGGTTTGCCTGGTACTGGGTCACCCTAAAAGGGATTTCCCATGGACTCAAATTTTTTTGTTAAATAAAAATATTTAAACTTAAAATAGGCTGGTTCTGAAGCATTTAATATGTATTATGCTTTAGCACAGCTCATTCCTCTTTAGTACAACCAAAATTTATGTAATTGCAACCATGGATGTCAATGTTTGATTGACAGGCCTAATTTTTTTTCTTCTCTCACTAAAAAGCTCATGTTGCTGACAAGATTATTTGTTATTGTAGAGCTTTAATTATAGCATAGGGTAACTGAACTACAACTCTTATAGAGAAGAGTTTTGTTTCCTTTTATTGCAAATATTACCCAAAACAATAATAATTTGAAATTATACCTTTCAAGCTATGTGTATTGATAGCAATAAAACAATAAATCTTATTAAGTGGGACTGAAATGTGAATTTTTGGTTGATGAACCAGCATCTTTCCAAGGTGATAGAAACACTCTTATTTTAACAAACCAGCCTTATTAATATTTCTTCCAATTAATGCAAATGTCCAATGTTGTTTACTAATGTGAAAATTTTGGAATTCAAAATATTTGTGAATTAAATTTGGGATTCTGTAAGAATGTTTTAAAATAAAAGCAATTTTTAGATTGTCATATCAGTGAAATGTTTTAACATTAGATTTGGATTATTTTATTTTAAAGAGCTAGAGTTTATAATTGTTGGCTTTGCTACCGTGGAAAGTGAGTTATACCGTAAATCCTAATTGTACATCATCAATGATTGTCATATGAAATAAAGTTAGCAATATTTAATGATGTTTTGAGGTCATTTTTAGTGAAACAATTATTACTGTAATTAAATCTGCCTGGTAGTCTTCAGTGTCCACCATCAAAATATATATTTTTTTTCCATAAACGAAGGTATGTATATGTATGAAAAAAAAGGTACAAGTGATAACTAAATAACTTTTAGATTCTTCCTGTCTTCCTGTTTGAAAACAGAAAAGAAATTTAATATTTACTGGATTGAGTAATTTTTTGGCACCAATATGATTAAAGAGAGGTATAGTAAATCATTTGTTAATACAAAGAGTGTTGTTTGAAAGCACACCCTTGCCTCTTCAGTAACCTATCAACCAGTCAGATGGAAAACTGAAACCAGCTGTGACTTAGCTGCTCATGACCTGCCTCCTTGTGACATTTCCTTGTTCTGATGGGTATTTGTGATGACCGGTACTTTGGTTTTGTGACAATCGATTGAAAACAGCCCAATGTCTGATTTTTTTTGCATTCAGTAGAACCAGGACAAAGTCTTATTCACATCTCAGTCAAGTATGCTGAGTAGTTAAATTAACCCTTCAACCCCCAGAAGTGACCAAGACAGAACTTCTCCTTACAACATCAATACAATATCAACCAGATATGTGATGAGAATAAAGAAAAATACAAATTTTGGGATAATTAGTAGATACAATACTCAATTCTCTGAACTAACATCATGAGAATCGTAGGGTTGACAGAAAGGAGAATTACAAATTTGGTCCAGTAGTTGAAGGGTTAAACTTGACTACATTGAGAAATAGTGACAGGGAAGTTTTTTCACATAAGTTTTGAAAGTTGTCAAGCATTTCAAAGATTTGCTTTTATTACTTTACTCTGACATTATTTAGGATACTTCTGCTACCTTCTCAACCAAAAAGGTGCAGAATGTACTCAAATTGCCACTTCTTCACCAACCTCATTTTCTCCTTCCCATGGTTTGCTGCCATTTACTTTCAATTCTCACTGGCTTATTTTGAAATTTTCCTTTCCCTCTAACAGTCAGGTTTGACATTGTGAATTAGTTGTTTTAAATGTGCCCTACTAAGTATTGTTGTCAAGTAATAAGCACCAGACAGGAGTGATAGGTGGTACAGGGTTTGTACCTTTTTTCAGGAACTAATTTCAAGGACCATTCCAGTCCTCTGAGTGATTTTTTAGGGCCCAAATTTCACCTTTGACCCTTTCATTCCCAAGACTTCAACATAAATTCTCCATATGGTCTACGTACATTTCATATTATGTATATTCTGAAAACTTTATTGCTCAGCTAAGCAGATTTCCTGGACTTTCCAAGACCCGTAGTCTTTTTCCAGGACTTTCCAGTCCAGTTGGAAAATGTCAAAATAAAATTCCACAGCTTTCCAGGTTTTCCAAGACCCATACAAACCCTGGTGGTACAGTCTATAATGGTCAACCATAGGATCAACAACATAAAAGACAACAACAACATTGTTTTCTCTTTCCAGTGTTTATCAAGGTATTATGTATACAAAATAAAAGATGAAAGATACAAGATGAAAATGATTTCTGTTCTATAAATTGTTTCTTTTTATAGTAAAATTTCACATAAACAGACAACAATGAAAATAAATCCTGGCATGATTTGTAGTGAATTACAATAAAAACAATTTTAAAGGTTGACAATGCATGTCCCGCAAACAAATATTCATAAAACTGAATATTTCTTTTGTTTTTGCTTTTGAATTTTTATGTTTTTTGCACTGTTTATTTCTTTAATACACCTTCACCCCCAGTTATATGTACAAAACCCTCTAGTGAAAATACTTATAGATTCTAATCTCTGATATGATGCTCAAGGCTTTTTTTCTATTCAACAACATGAATCCCAGGTTGAGTACCAAATTAAGCCTCAAATCCCTTAGAGTGACCAGCATCCAATTTCTCCTCACTGTATCACCACTGAATCATATAGCAATGCCATAATTGTCCTACTCAGTACTACTAGGAAATGTATAGAGAACAGTATATGGAGAAATTGTATACTGATGTTAGGACAAACTAATGTTAAGGCAAAAAGGGTTATACATCTGAGAACTGACAAAATCTGTCAGAAAAATCCAATTGCTTTCTTGCACTGCATGGACAATTGTTCATTCATGATTGTAAATATATGAAAATCATATGTGAATTGCAGTTGGAGAAACGAGTAAGGTAGTCATCTTAGAGTGCTGCACTGTGGTATTGTGGAGGTAATGAGTTCAAATCCTCTATAGTCCTCAATTTTTTTCAGGCCTTATTTTCACTACTTCTTAAGTAGTGTTCATAACTGCAAGGATCACTTCCATATTCATTTGTTCATCCATATTGTAGGAGACATACTTGGATTTTTAATTAAAAAATGTACAGTCATGTAATTGCACAAGAGTAGTGTAAAGTAACAAAAAAAATTCTCTCTTTCTAAAGAAATAGCTCAGACCATTGAGATTTAGCTGAGAGATCTGTACTGAAGCAACCACAGAATTCTTCAATGAACAACATTTTCACCAATAATTTTGTCTACAAAGTTTGCTATTGTTTTAATGATGGCAGCATTTCTTTTTCCTACGAGGTACCTGTTTCTCTTCTATATTCAACTGTATAACTTCCAATGACCCATTATTGCAATGAGTGCTGGAGTTGTTAAAGCTTGCACCTCCACCACGTAGAGTATGGCGACCTATTGATTTCATGGGTGTGGCTTTCCAGAACAAATGCCGAGCCACTGATTGTACCATTTCCTGGATACCATCACCAGTTAAAGCAGAAGTTCTAAATGTAAGTGTGAAAGGATTGTTTGGAAAACACTCACTGATGTCATCTGCACTGACAGTTTCTGTCATGTCAATTTTGTTTGTAATCAAAATAAAGCAAGCTCCCTGTGCATTAATTTTGGCCAATTGTAGCAGCTCAGCTACTTGGCTGAGAGAATCCCTATCATCTGCACTGTACACAAACAGAACAGCTTGGCTCAACAAGAACTGAGACCTTGTTAACTGGGCATATTCTTCGAGTCCAACAGTGTCCCATAGATTAAACTGGAAATTGAAAAAAAAAGAACACATATTTTGACATGTTGTACAAGTTTATCATTGCTTGGGGTGCTGGTGCAGGCTATTTGAATCAACAACCTATGCGAGCAGAAAGAATTGAGGTTAATTGTATTTGTTGGTAATATAACCAAGAGAGAATGTGGATAGTTGTGTCTGCTGGTGTAAATGCTGAAACTGTACAGTGTGCCTGATGCCAATGCTCCAAATGAAAGCCATGGTCCCATACATCCCTCTTCTAAAAGAATTCAATAGAGGTGTTTCCTTCATAGTACTCAAAGAGGTTGGCAAAGGGTTGATGTGTCATGCATAATTAAGACCAAAATTAATTAATATGATGCATTAATTTTACAGAAAGATGAGGAAAGGTGAGATATAAAGTTTTCCCATAATATACAACCAAGATGGGTGAAATACTGTTTGTATATGTGACATGTGAATTTTTCTTAGATTCATCATGATACCCCTTTGCTCCCCTCTCCAAATATCAAATTATTTTGTTGACTTTGATTTGGCACTCATTCATGCCAATCTTTTTCTTTAAATTTGTTTTTTTTGAGTTGATTGTGACAGGGAATTGTCAGCCAATCATGACAAGGCATCTTCCTTTAAAATAGTAGCAGACTGCTATACAATATTTAAAACAATAAATTAAAGTGATGAATGAAGGGGTGACACTAACCGATTTTTGTGTACACCCCTTGCCAATTTAATTTCCCCTTTTCCCTTCATGCTTTCACTCCTAAGATCTCAAAAGTAATTTTCCTTACTGTGTGCCATCCAATCTTAGGATGATAGCTCAGAGAATTTGGGATTGGATCAACTATTAATTGCCTAATTGATATTTTTCTTTATTCTCATCACTTTTCGACTTGATATCGTATTGACATTGTAAGGAGAAACTATGTCTTGGTCACTTATGGGAGTTACAGGTTAAAACAACTGAAATTTTGTTTTCCCTCCTGAACTTAATGCTTTGTTCCTAATGTAGGCAAGATCAGAAATGGCAAGGGGGGCAGGGTATGAGGAGAGGGTGGAACATTTTACTTTGGATTTAGAGAAACAAATATCTGTTTTTGTAATGAAAGTTTTTTCAGCCAAGTGTGTCAACTTCTTTTATTACAAATGTACTTGGGGTATGGTCATTCAGTATTGGGGGGGGGTGGGTGAACCAGAGCAACTGGAAAGGAGTCATGTTTTTTTGGTGTGCCTGAAAATGAGGGGCTACATAAAATTCTGAAACCATTTCTGAACAGTCATGTTTTCTGTGTGTTCTATTTTCCTTTCTACAAAAGCAGAAAACACTGGAGGGACCAACAAAACCCCACTCTAAGAGGGGGAGCAGGCATTATGAAACTGCACCAGCCAATCCACCTTTTCGTTCCCATAACAAATGACCCATCCATTATTTTTAGTTCAAAGGCAAATGAAAAATTAAAGAACTTTTCAAAACCAATTTTAGCTAGAACATACAAGATAATGACTAATTTTCCTTGGTAGAGCCATACCTGAACTGTGTCATCACTGTCATCTATTTTAACTATCACTTGACGCTCGTGATTCATCATTGTCTTTTGAACAGCTTTTCCACTTTTCAGTGTGCCTTTTGATCCACACATTCGCTGAAAAATGGAAGTCTTTCCTACTCCGGTCTTGCCACATAGTACTACTTTGTAAGTGTTGACCATAGCAGACTCTACACTCCAACATAAAATTTTCTCACCAATAGGACTGAGATGAACTGATCAAGTAGCCTGACTGCAAAACAAATCTTCTTGGAAGTGCATGTACCACCTAAGTTTAGGTCATCTTTGCTACAAAAAGAAATTCAATCAATCTGTCACTAATGAACCTTTCAGAACTTTTGCATAAATTGTAACAACACTAATGAGGTATCTGGGGGTTTTCCCTGATTCCAAGTTCACCCCTTAATTTAAACAAGTTTGT